GGGGGGGGGAAGGGGGCTTTTTTTCGTTTTTGCTTCATGTATGAGATTGTGTCACAAGAAGGTGGGATTGGCTTCGGTGTTGGGAAGATCGAAGTACTTGCGTTAGGGCAGGTGTGAAGTGGATGAAGTTAGGGAGGAAGTAGACACAAAAGAAGAGTGACCAGCTGGGTTTGTGCGATAGAACATTCGAGGAAGGTGCTACTCTAGGCTTCGCAAACTGGTAAGGCATAGACGAGCACCTCGTAGTCTTAGAGGAGAAGAAGGGCTTCAGACTTCTCGTTTTGGTCACGACAAGGGTGAACAGGAAAACGAGGGCCTCAACACAGGTCACAGGAGCTGCTTTTGTGCAAGGGATTCCTGTGCAATCGAGAAGAGTTACAATGGCTTCGCTTTGCACAAACACAAGGAAAGAAGCGTGATTTGGCTCGGTTTTGGTCTGCGAATAGTAAAAGCGAATGAACGGAGGCTACGGTTCCTTGGTTTTTGGGTGAAAAATGGAGAGACACTAGTGTGGGAAGTTTTGGTGGGCTTTGTACGCTTCAATCCCATTGTTGCTTTTTTCTGTATCACATGAATATCTATCACGGGAAGCAGAGACAGGCTCAATCAGCGTTTAGAAGGTTGAATTGTGTGCGCTAGAGATATGAACAAAAGTTTTGGAGGACTTTGTATGCAGCAATCCGGCCTTTGCTTTCCCTATTTGCCCTAGTTATGACTGTATTGCGAGAAGACAACTGCAAAAGGGAAGGGCTTCGAACTGGAGGAAGGCAGTTGCTGCTACGTTTGAATGCTGGAGTGGGCTCTTCTACCATGCGGTTTCGAGGGGAGAGGAGGGAATACGGGATTGTGGTTTTCCTTCAGAAAACTCTCTGGGCTTTCCAGTTTTCTAAGTAGTATATTGGCATGGAAAAATGCGACGAGCGGGACCGGTTTTGGTATGCGGTTGGGAGTAGTTGGAGGCTTGATTTATTTTAATTTCCTTTTATTATTTAATTTTAACTGCCAACATTAGGTTTATGTTTATTTACTTGATTTGTATTCTTTGGTTCCAAGTATTGTTTTTCTTATCTTCAGCAAAGCCTTACTTGAATGAATAGTGAATCTTTGAAAGATGAGATAATCCTATTTTTGATTTTTTTGGATGGAAAATCAAGAGATGTAAACAAAAAAGTTGTTATTAATTTTCCCACATTATTTGGCATATAAACTTGCCCGTTTGAAAGCAATCCAATGTACTTAGAATTCATATCTTATTTAACGAGATATTGAAGTCTATACACTAGCTTAAGAAGATCCAGACATGTACCATGCATCTAATCCGAAAGGGCTACAAGTATTAAAGAATGTTCAAAGATTGCATGATTGGAGTTTAAAAGTGGTTTGGTATAATCAGCACGGAATATAGCTTTTAGGTGTTAGTGTTTGACATAAAATTACTGTGAAATTTTTATCTAAATAATCTTGGATGAGGTTGAAGGTGACTATTCCTGTGGTATTACACACTGTTTTTTCCTTCTACATGACCTTTGTTTCTTTCATCTTCTAAGCTGCAAAACACATCAAGTTTGGCATCTTTGCTGCAGGAGGAGAGACTTTGTGATACTGGAAAAGAAGCTGATATTGTAGATCATGTTCTTTCTGCACATTGTTGCTTTCTTATAAGGAGTATGTCTCAGAGGGATGAAAATATTCGAGACATTTCTGTCAATTTGCTAACTCAATTTAAAGAGAAGTTTCAGCAGGCAAGCTCTGTTTATTCTGAGGGTGACTTATCATTGAGATTTAGCTTGCAGATGTTCACCATACCTAAACTAACACGTGCAACATACCTGCAGGTTTTGTGGAACGTTTCTTGTTTGGATGCACTTCTATTTTCAGTTCATAATGAGTTACCTTCAGCTCAAGTCAATGATCCTGCTTTGGTTGCTATTTGTCGTTCTGTATACCAAAAGATTGTGCGGGAATGGATCACAAATGCCCTTTCATATGCTCCATGCACAACCCAAGGCTTATTACAGGTTTGCTTTTTCTTTCAGTTACTCTTGTTTTAAAATCTTGTAGTTATTACAATGTATTATTACATTTTCTTCAAAACAACAAAAAACTTTAGGCAGAAAGAAACAGTGCTTCATGTGATGTCATGTCGCGAATCGGTCCAAAGAGCTTGGAGTACCAAGATGAAAATAAAAAAAGTTAGACAATGGATATATTTTTCTATTAACAATTAAATCAATCCAAAATATCTTCATAACTCTAAAAAGCACTAAACTACAAATTATTCATTCACATTTCATCTCATAAATAAATTATCTTCAATACAAAAGAATTATCAGAACAAGTAAACAAAATATAAAAATTTTTAGTACTTATTTTTACTCTTCTTTTATCTATGAATTCTCTTTTATCTGCCATTTAACTAAAGGGAGATTTTTCAGAAAATGAATATTAAACAATAGTTTGAGCCATGCAATAACTCGGTGGCTTATTGCAATTCTATAGTATAAGCAATCTTATGAATAGAAGTAATGTGAATATAGGTCATGATGAGTAAACAGTAAATTCTTATTTTAAAATAAATTAAAAATAGGTACATTTAAATTCAATTCGAGCAGAGCAAAGTTAAATTTACTCTTTGATAACATGACGTTTATATGGAAATTTATCATATTATAGCATAGTTTATCTTTTAATAAAGTACTCTCATTATAGGAGTACCATTATATTTTTGGTGTCATTTAAGGTAAATTTATTTTCAATTTCTTTCTAAATTTTACACATGGATACCTTAATATCCCAAGCTAGTAACTTAAGGAGGTGACTCTTTCATTTAGTAAGCACAAATATTTCATTGAAGTAGTTCTTTCAATCATATTATTTTATGTACATGAAATTCATCCATAAATTATTTGTAAAATAAAATGCATCTATCCAATAGTTAAGTCAATATGTGGAATTTTCTGCTAAAAGAATAAATTTTGCTTTTATATCATCCAACATGCATATAATAAAACAAGACACTTGTTGCTTTAAAATTGAAATAAAAACTAGTATTTTTTTGCTCTCTTGTTGAAATTTAACTCCTCATCTCAACCTTGGAAGATTTATGCTGTCACTTAATCTTTAAACTCCGTGTAATTTATTTAAATATCGATAAAGAAATATATAAGTAAATACTAAAAATTCACATTGGTGGGTTTCTAAAATTTATCTTTTATTTATATATCTCTTTGTTATCTTAAACCTAATTATATTTGAATTTTTATTTGTGAAGACATAAAACATTACTTATTAATTGATTTATTTTTTTTTGCCAAAATCATTGTAAAAAATTAAATTCTTATCATAAAGTTTCAAATTTTATTAACCTAATTTAAATTATAAAATTCTTAATTTAGATACATACCTTAGTTATTTCTTCTTTTCTAAGAAGCACTACTTATTCTTGATTTGTTCTTTTTATACTTTCAAAATTTATGATAACAATTTTACTTGCAAGTTACAAAATGAAGTTGCGGTTTATAGATTTCGATTTTTAAAATTTAGATTAAACTTGTTCCATTTATTTGGTGAAATACTTTCGATTTGGAACAAATACGTAGATTAAAAACTTTTTCTTTCTTTTTTTTTGGATCCGAAGAAAATTGATTCTTGTGTCGATCTACATGATTAAACTCATTAATGGCTTATAACACTAGGCTTGGCTTGTGATTTCCTACGCAAAACCCAGTTTCATCATTTTCTCTACTTCACTTGTCGTTGTCCTAGACACTATTCATTGTCTCCCCGCACTTCATGTCTGCTCGCTTCACATTGCTCCTTTTGGGCATTGCTCGTCTCTTTCTTGTCTCTCAATTACCGTTTTAGCTCCACTTAGCTGCTCAGTCTTTTATCAATGAACCAGCTTGTTGATTCCTTTAAACTGATGCAGCAGAATCAAAAAGATTTTTTTATTAGGTTTTATAATCTCCACATTTTACAAAATCTGTCATCAAAATTTAATGGTTACAACAATAGCAACATTAAAGAGACACATATAACAACTTCACATTTCTTATTATTTTTTCCTATGTAGCATCCTTTTTTGTCCTATGTTTTCATAAAAATTGTACAAATTGATTGTCTCAATTGCAGAGCCATTTTATGTTACATTTCAATATTTTTGTAGGCTCCAAAATATACTTTAGGTATGGCCGTTAAAGTTAATTTTTAAGTTGCATATTCGTTACATTTCAATATTTTTGTAGGCTCCAAAATATAGTTTAGGTATGGCCGTGTATCAATTGAATCTATAATGACTCTACTTAAGGCCTATGTATTTTTGAAGTGTAGGCATATGAAAGATGTTATGTACTCCTTGCATGTGTGCTGATAAAGTTAATTTTTAAGTTGCATATTTAACCTTTTTTCCTTTTGATCTTTGTGTAAGTGCTAGGGGCGTCCCCGGGAAGTGACGCGCTGTATAGCCTGAATACATTGAAAAGTGTGTAAGGGCCGCTACACAGGCGTTACTTTAAAAACTAAAAAGATACCTGAGAAGTGGAGGAAGAGTATTTTGGTCCAAATTTTTAAGAATAAAGAAGCACAAGAGTGTAAATTATAGAGGAATTAAGTTGATATGTCATACTCTTTAAAAACTAATATTACTTTAAAAACTAAAAAGATACCTGAGAAGTGGAGGAAGAGTATTTTGGTCCAAATTTTTAAGAATAAAGAAGCACAAGAGTGTAAATTATAGAGGAATTAAGTTGATATGTCATACTCTTTAAAAACTAATATTACTTTAAAAACTAAAAAGATACCTGAGAAGTGGAGGAAGAGTATTTTGGTCCAAATTTTTAAGAATAAAGAAGCACAAGAGTGTAAATTATAGAGGAATTAAGTTGATATGTCATACTCTTTAAAAACTAATATTACTTTAAAAACTAAAAAGATACCTGAGAAGTGGAGGAAGAGTATTTTGGTCCAAATTTTTAAGAATAAAGAAGCACAAGAGTGTAAATTATAGAGGAATTAAGTTGATATGTCATACTCTTTAAAAACTAATATTACTTTAAAAACTAAAAAGATACCTGAGAAGTGGAGGAAGAGTATTTTGGTCCAAATTTTTAAGAATAAAGAAGCACAAGAGTGTAAATTATAGAGGAATTAAGTTGATATGTCATACTCTTTAAAAACTAATATTACTTTAAAAACTAAAAAGATACCTGAGAAGTGGAGGAAGAGTATTTTGGTCCAAATTTTTAAGAATAAAGAAGCACAAGAGTGTAAATTATAGAGGAATTAAGTTGATATGTCATACTCTTTAAAAACTAATATTACTTTAAAAACTAAAAAGATACCTGAGAAGTGGAGGAAGAGTATTTTGGTCCAAATTTTTAAGAATAAAGAAGCACAAGAGTGTAAATTATAGAGGAATTAAGTTGATATGTCATACTCTTTAAAAACTAATATTACTTTAAAAACTAAAAAGATACCTGAGAAGTGGAGGAAGAGTATTTTGGTCCAAATTTTTAAGAATAAAGAAGCACAAGAGTGTAAATTATAGAGGAATTAAGTTGATATGTCATACTCTTTAAAAACTAATATTACTTTAAAAACTAAAAAGATACCTGAGAAGTGGAGGAAGAGTATTTTGGTCCAAATTTTTAAGAATAAAGAAGCACAAGAGTGTAAATTATAGAGGAATTAAGTTGATATGTCATACTCTTTAAAAACTAATATTACTTTAAAAACTAAAAAGATACCTGAGAAGTGGAGGAAGAGTATTTTGGTCCAAATTTTTAAGAATAAAGAAGCACAAGAGTGTAAATTATAGAGGAATTAAGTTGATATGTCATACTCTTTAAAAACTAATATTACTTTAAAAACTAAAAAGATACCTGAGAAGTGGAGGAAGAGTATTTTGGTCCAAATTTTTAAGAATAAAGAAGCACAAGAGTGTAAATTATAGAGGAATTAAGTTGATATGTCATACTCTTTAAAAACTAATATTACTTTAAAAACTAAAAAGATACCTGAGAAGTGGAGGAAATGTATTTTGGTCCCCATTTTTAAGAATTAAGGGGATGCACAAGAGTGTGCAAATTATAGAGGAATTAAGTTGATGTGTCATACTTTAAGGTTATGGGAGAGGGTAATTGAGCATAGGTTAAGACACATCACAAAGATTTCTCACAATCAATTCAGATTTATACCGGACAGGTTTACTATGGTAGCTATACATTTATTGAGAGGTTTGATGGAGAAGTTCAGAGATAATAAGGAGAATCTACATTTGATTTTTGTTGATTTAGAAAAAGCTTACGATAAGGTTTTAAAAGATATCCTTATCTGATGATATCCCAATTGAAGTGTGAATATATTTGGGAGATTTGGGTTCTTGGCTTACTAAACTCTTTAATATTATTTTAAAAACTAAAAAGATGCCTGAGGAATGGAGGAAGAGTATTTTGGTCCCCATTTTTAAGAATAAAGGGGATGCACAAGAGTGTACAAATTATAGAGGAATTAAGTTGATGTGTCATACTTTAAAATTATGGGAGAGGGTAATT